AACTGGAATAATGCTTATATATTACTATATAGATATATGGGTGTATATGACAAAGCATTTGAGAGTATCAGGAAATATCCTTACGAAAATCATATAAAACCTGATGCCAATATTGCGGGAAACGGGGAGAAAAAGGAGGAAAAATAAGAGAACAAAATAAATGAAAATCCAGATAGAAAATGGGAGAAAATGAGAGAAAAAGACTTCATGTAGGATATTGGCAAAGAAATATACCACAGATCGCTGGATGTATACAGTTACTGAAATAATCAGTTGGCACAATAAAGCAACTCGATTACGGCATCACGAATTCAACTGTGCAAAGATTCGTGAGATTGCCAAGCCCTCAGGTCTTCGTCGTAAGAACAGCGCATTCTTCGAAGCCGCAGGAAGGCCGCTCTCAGAAGGACTCCTCCAGAGTTATTTCAATCTACAGGGAGATTCCAAGAAACGTCCCACGCCATTTTCCGCTCAAGTTCCCAGAAACGTTTCTCGTGTGAAAAGACGTAATGATGATAATAACAATAATGATAATAATTATTATTATCATTGTCATCATTATTTTTACTCAGGACGTAATGGCTTAATTGTTAATTGCGAAAGTGTTCCCTTCAATTTAATTAAGCATATATATAATAATCCCCATCCCACTGACGTTCTTTTAAAATGAATATTCACCACATATTTAACGAAATTAAAGTTGATCTGGATATTGTTGATCAATGTGCTTGCCCGGTATTATAAAATCCTTACTGTTCTAGATTTATATTTCGGTAAAAAAGATAATGTTTGGATTCATTAAATGATTAATTATCGTCCATGTGATCTCATAGATAAATATCTTAAATACTGAGAGACAAATGGCCATTAGACCAGCAATATGACAAACACATGAGAAAAAATCTAATTGCTTCTAAAACGTCGTATTCGTGTGATGTAATGATCCTGTTATGGGGTCATGAACACATGAAGAAATAACATTCAGTCTGCAAACGTAAGCTCCTAAGTTGGTGAACATTTTCATATTAAGCTCACTTAAGGCCCTATCACACTATC